AATTTTATCCTAAGAGCAGCAGCGATCAGTGGAAAGCTTTAAGTGGAGGAGTCGCATCATCAGATTTGCATTTTAGAAAATTCACTCTGGCTGCCTAGCTGAGACGGCTGGGCAGGAGCAAGAATTCACTCAGGGAGGACTGGGTAGGAGCTTTCTGCAGGAAGCAGCCACAAATGATAGGAGCATGAATACAGCGGTAGCGATGGGGCGGAGAGAAGTAAAAGATTCAGGTAATTATAGAATAAGAAACAGCAGAACTTGCTGAAGGAAGAGCTGCTGTGGGGAGAGGGAAAGGGAAGAATCAGGATGACGCCAAGGCCCCCCGCTTAGGCAAATGGATGGATGGCCAGTGGCACCCGTCACAGAGAGAGGATGCAAGAAGAGTGAGGGGGAAAGAGGACAAGTTCACTATTTATCCTTTTGAGTTTGAGGTTACTGTGAGCCACACAACTAGTTGGGCAAATGTTCCATACCTTAGAAGAAAGACCCAGCCTGGAGATAGAGACTTGAGAGGAATTCACATCAAGCTGATAATTGAAGCCCTGATAATGAAAGAACTCTCTGAAAATGAGAGGGCCCTGGAACAAGAGAAGATGTCTTTGGAGAGCACCAACACTGAAGAGACAAACGAAGCATTGCCCAAAGAGATAGGAAGAAAATTAGGAAAACAAGAAAAGAGATTCATTCGAAGGACGGCAGTCAGCAGCAAACGATGCCGAAAGTCGAGTAATAAGCACTGTGATGTGCCCCTTGAACATAGCAGATGACCTTGGCAAGCACAGCAGCTTCAGGAATGCTCATCTGAGGTCTACAAGGTAATCTTACTAGTTTTAAACACATGAGAAAGAATTTCTTTTCTTTGTGAATAGATAAAAGGGGAGTTACTCAGCCCCTGATATCATCCCAAAAAATCCCTTTCTAAGCAGGTACCTCTCACTGGGCCGGCAGAATGGCCCACAGTTTCCCCTAAGTCCAACAGAGAGCTTGCTAAGACAACCCTGAGGTAGGAATATAGTAGAGGAGCATCGATGCGCTTCACGGCAGAGCAACTCCACCAACAATCTTCCTGGGACACAAGAAACAAGCTCTTTCTTTCCAGGGAAACAGGTAAGAGATGACTTAATTTCCAGCGTGGTCACAGGTACAGGCAGGACCCTGTCCCAAAGGGCCCTGACAAGCCTTTATTTCTCTGGACAGCATAGCCTTGCTGCCTAAGTGAGAAATACCCTGCACTCATCACTTCACCTCCCCAATTCTCTGCTTCCTCGTGGGAAAATAAGGATGACAATAGAATCCAGCACAAACGGCCGAGTGAGGATTAAACGAGATTACTTGGCATAGCGCTTGACACGCTGTAAGAGCTCAGGGAAGTATTTTTGTTATAATAAACAATAATATCATGCTATGAATATTATTAGTACTGGATCCCAGGAACCTGCAGAAATCTTTCCCTTTGCACTGTAACTTACGAGTCCGTGGGTCTTTCTCAACCTTCCCCATCACCACCTGCACCTCCACCCCCTTCCCTGCCGGCGAAACAGCTCTCAGAGCGCAGGAACTCAGTCTCCCTACCCCATCACACACCCAGAGTCTAGTGTGCCTGGCACATGGCGGTAAGTAAATAATGCTTGTGGAATGAGTTAATAAATTTCACGTGTATCTAGCAAAATCTACGTAGGAGAGCAGAGAAACGCTGCTTCCAGGAATGGAAAAAGTCATCTCTGAAGAGGCACGGAAAGGTTGGTAAGTCTGAAGAGGGAAAGATCTGAGGTTTGCACATATCGTGGATGAGAGGCAAGGAGATCCACTCTTCAATGAAGTTCAGACAATGAGAAAGCAAAAGAGCAGCCTGGCTGCACAGCAGGAAGAAAAGATAACAGCAGTGTGGGGCTTTGTTGGTTTTTTGCCCTTGCAGGGGAACTCCCTTTATAGGCAACAGAACCAAGAGAGCAGTTACAGACAAATACATATCTCTTGGTAAATACTGAGGGCTGCAAATTTCTATCACATCATTAATCAGGAGGCAGAAGTGGCGAGGGTTCTGGTGACCAGTGACGACTTTGGGAACAGCAAAAAACAAACAAACTCCCAACATAATCCAGGAAAACCCAACAAATTACATGACATTTCAGACCCAGCAGGAGACAAAACACAGACCCCCCAAAGAGGAAGTGATGTATTCACTCTAGCCAAACAATGAAGTCAACACTTTGAAAGGGGAAAAGAAAATCAAGTACAAAGGGACAGCCGAAATTCCTTAAAAGAACATGGAGAGTTGTGTCTGAAAGGGCTGCCGTTAGCAGCAGCCTATCTCTTTCCTGGAAAACCTTTCTTTCTCTGTCTCTCTGTCTCTCTCTCTCATCTAATCAGCCCTGTGGCAGACATTTATGGGCTACCAGGTTCTGCAACGAGCACTGGGAAATTAAAGTCTCCTTCCCTTTAGAAACAACTTCATGCAAATCACATAACTCAAAGTCAACGTGGAAGAGAATCAAAGAGGAGGGACATCATGGAGTGGATAGTCAGAAAGGTGACCTGAGAAGAGACTCTGAATGCTATTTATGCAGACGGATGCCTAGAGCTGACAATACAGATGTGATCTTCCATGTAATGATGCTTTGAAGTAATAGGACCTCTTAATCCCAGTTATCTCAAGAAACGTAAACATTAATTAGGTGTTCCCAACGCCTCTAGGTGAATTCTATTTTCATTCTTCATTTAACTGAGAAACTGAGGTACAGAGAAATGAAGGAAATCACCCGAAGGATGACAGTGTGAGTCAGCAGCCCAACCAGGAAGCTGGGGCTTCGACTCCTCACTTCCTGCTTCCCTCTATAAAAGAGTACATTCCCCTGGAGAGGCAGCTTTCCAGGAGAGAAGGCATGGAAATTCAGGTCATTCTCGGGAGGGGCAGGATACCTGACATCAGGCACACAGCTCGGCGGATACTGAAATTTCTTCCCACATGGGGCTTTCCCCTTCCTTCGCCAGCGTTACTTAGCCTGGAAAATCAATTCACGCCAATACCCTGACTTCCTGCTCCTTAAATGAGTGTCCTTCCCGCTCACCATTCTGAAGCAGCGGCTGCACAAATTAGCAGCGCTCTTTGTCCCTAGAGCTCCAGAACCCAATTGCACCCCAGCGTGTGCCAAGAGCTTCTGATGTGTGCCATGCATTGTAAAACGTTGGCCTGTGCTTCAGCAAAGAATTTTGTCCTTCTTAATGGCCACCAGAAAGTTTGTTTGGCGATCTGTCCCTCTAAAGCGAAAAAGGAAAGGAAAGACAAGAAAAGCCTGTGAACTGCTTACTACAAGCTTCCGAAGCTGAGTGGAAGTTTAACCAACTTCAAGGAAAGCACACACACACTAAACCCCCAACTGTCTGAGGACTTTCCACTTTTTAATGCACTAGAGCTGGATTCTGGAGCAAAGGGCAGCAGCGATTATTCCAGAAGTCAGGTCATGGATGGTGTAAGCTTACCTTCTGCCCACTGGGATCTTATCAACCGTGTGTGCCTGGACTATTTTGAGACCCATCTGAGCCTGCTACCTGGGACACGGGTAGCGTTAACAAATCAACGTACGGCTGACAAGGGTTTAACCAGCCTCATCTGGTCAAGAACAACAGCCAGAGCAAACTGTCTCTTGGCAGCTGAATCTGTGGTTTGAAATACTGCTTTTTCTTGAATATGAAATTTAGAGGCACAGTGCAAACTGCAACTGTAACCCAAATTAACCAACTAAAGGGCGGTGGGGGGGGGGGGACACAGATGTGCCTTTTTCCTTCGATTTCTTTGTTATTCAGGCAAGAGGACAAACAGTATTAAAAAGTTGAGCTCTTTTCACAAGGCAGGACTGAGAGCCGGAATCCCTGGCAGGCATGCCTGCCAGGCCCCGGGCGTGCAAAGGCCCTGTTCATTGTCCTCATCTTCTGTGCGGGAGACCCTGGCTTCTGCCTTTGCCACTGGCAGGTGGCCAGTTCTCAGGGCCTCACCTCACGCTATATTTTCAGCCATTTCCACAAAGCATGCAGCCTCTCAGTCTCACCGAGGGGAGTCAGCTGCTTTAAGAGGGAGTGTTCCGGTCTTCCCGCTGTCCAGTCCCCCCGACTCCAACCCCGCTCCCCTAGGGCCAGCGGAGGCTTCTACCTGACGCTTAGCACACACTCTCTGCGGTGCTGCCTCACGGCTCCCTCGGGCCTGGAAACCACTGTTGCTGGCCTTGCCGAGACACGTCCCTTCCTCCCCACTCCCAAATATAAGAGGTTTCCCCTTATTTCTGTACCAAGGGAATGGTGACAGTTTATACAGTACACGGGAGATGTTTTAAGGTGTCAGCCCATCCGACTGCCTACATTTGGGTTTTGTCTTCCTAATGAGAGAGGGGGAAGAGTTTATTTCTGGCAGACAATCCTACTGGATTAGAAAGGCTTCATCTCCATCCATCTCAAAATGAGAGGTACACTGAGGAAAACCACCAGATAGTCCTCAGCTGATGGTAAAACAGCCTGGGGTCGTGACAAGAGTTTAGGAGGTGAGAGCGTGGGTTCCGCCTCAAAGCACTCAAGAGAGGCGAGGGGCGAAGTCAAACCAAGAAGAGGCCCCATTTTTTGAGCCACCATATGTGTTGAGTAGTGGGATCCTCCAGCTTCCACATGTCCTCACTGACTTAATAGCTATTGTGTGCAATATCCTCTTAATTATCTTCTTCTTAGACAAATAATAAATATCTCCCTTTCCACAGGAAAACTAGGACTCATTTGCCTCAGAATTAATTTCCCTCTTCTTTAAGGTAGGAAGACCTAAATAAGTCTTTCCAAGTCTTCCCTTTTTTGATGACTATTTCTAGAAGTGAAAAGTTAGACAGGCCAGAGTAATTAGGTTAAGTTAGAACTAGCCCAGTGCCATCTGTGCATAGAATGTGCCCATCATCTTGGTAACAGTTAAGCCACTTACTAACCTACTATTCGCTGGGAAGCGATAAAGGAACTGACAAATGATGGATGGTTCAAGGAAACAGCTGTCTTTATTTTGGTTCAGTTTACAGTCATTCTTGCCTTTCTAAAGATAAGAAAATGCAGGTGCTTAAGGCATTGGACCCAAGAGCTGGCGAGGAGGCCCACCATGAGTTTAAATTCCTCTCTGAGAAGGAATGAGTAGTCTGTGCTGGTTAAGGGTTTGGAGTCACACACATAGGTTCAGATTCTAAGTCTATCACTCACTGGCTGCTTAGATTATTTACTGCTTTAAGTGTCAAATTCTTCATCCGTAAAATGGAAGAATAAGAGTAGATTCGTTGTGAAGATTACTGTAATACACCAGGTGCAGAGGAAGGGCTTCGTTCAGCGGCAAATAATTATCGGAGAATAAATGAAATGAAGAGGATTCATTAACAAACAAGACTTCCACCTAATCCCACCTCCAATTATGATCTGGGAGCTCAGTGCATCATCCTTCATGCTGGAACCTCTCTCAGCAGTGATGCCATCTGCTTGCCCGCTGGCTGTAACAATCCAATACTAAAGTACCTTTTAAAAAGAAAAAGACACCGTGCTAAGGGAGAGCGTACAAAGAGCAAGCAGAAATTTAGAGAATAAACGTTTACTCTGTATTGAGAGCCTTCTGAGATACTCTGAACATTTGCGTTTCTAAGTACCACCCACTTTTTTTTTTTTTTAAGATTTTATTTTTCCTTTTTCTCCCCAAAGCCCCCCGGTACATAGTCGTATATTTTTAGTTGTGGGTCCTTCTAGTTGTGGCACGTGGGATGCTGCCTCAGCATGGCCTGATGAGCAATGCCCTGTCCACGCCCAGGATCCGAACGGGTGAACCTAATCGCTTGGTCACGGGGCTGGCCCCCAGCACCACCCACTTTTAAGTTTCCATTATTGTAAAAAGTTCCCACAGGGATTCAGATCCTGGGTGTTTCATGTCTGATAGTGCGCACAGATAGTGAAAACTTTTCTTGGCTATGGACACTACAGCGAGTAGATTAGGTAAGTATAAAAAAGTAGCAAGGAAGGTATGCCCAGGACACCAGTTCTGGTAGCCAAATAATAAGACAAATCCGATGAGCGCACTGAATTATCCCCGGCACCATTTTATCTCTTAGGTCATATACATACAATAAAACAAAAAAAAGTTATTATCTGTTACACGGAATAAGGCGAGAGAGTGAATTTGCTTTGCCAAATTGATGAGGAGCTTCTCACCTAGAGTTGGCTCTTCTTTTCTGCCCTCCTCCATACGTAAGATGGTAGTTGTGTTTCTAATACTCATTGATTTAAAAGATGCATAAGGACAAAGTGACAATATAAATTTAGAGAGCTTTTACATGAATTTGTAGTTTATTAAGTAATGACAAACACATACACTGGGACAGAGTCCATTTCTCTGCCAGTCATTTTATTACTCAGTCTACACAAAGTGTTTGTTGTATGTAAAGCACTCTGAGCCCTTGCAATAACTCAGTGTCCCTGAGCGGGTATTCAGCCACCAACTGGGAACCGCTGACTTAGAGCAGAAACATGATGTGAAAGCAGGAAGGGATGCGCGACACGTCCTTAAAGTGCCTTCTGTAATTTAAGCAAGGTGAGAGAAAACTACTTTCCCCTAAACATCTGAGCACGTGAAGTCAGTCTCATCTTGAAATTAGTTTCATTTCTATGCGCTTGGAAATCCCACCCATGTTACAGTTTTCCAGCTCTCTAAAAAACAAGAAGTATTGCCAATAAAATATTTATTGAACAATAGTGATTTTGTTATAACCTCCATGGTGTCTATCCCTTTAATTAACCATATTCATTGTGCTGTCTTTGTGATATTTTGATAGCTTCCAGATGCAGGTACACCTTACATGAACAGAAAGGAGAAAAAACCCAAAGTCACTCAAAATAGAACCAGAACTGTAGCTACCACATGTGTTTTAAATATATTACCCATACAATTAAGAATACAGTATCATAAACCAGTTCTATAAATCTTATAATAAAAACAGTAACGCACCAACTCTTCTTAGCCACAAAGAGGCCCTTAATAATACTATAGATTCCATGATGATGTGGCTTTGGGAGTGACTTAATGATATTCTGTAGGAAGAACATTAGCTGGCTGAAATAAATCATAGCACATCTCCTTCTGCGTACCTAAAATGAAGGCGAAAAGAATCCTCTTGCGAGGCAGACGCAGCCTAATATATGCTAATCTTCAGAATTCCTGGAAATCCTGCAGATTTTTACTATCTTCTAAAAGTGCTAAGAAAATTTAATTTTCAGACAGGGCTTCGGGCACTGTTCTTTTCATGTGTGTGTGTGAGCTAACAGCTGTGCCAATCTTCCTCTTTTTGCTTGAGGAAGATTGGCCCTGAGCTAACATCCATGACAATCTTCCTCTATTTTGTATGTGGGGTGCCTCCACAGCATGATGAGCAGTGCAGAGGTTGGTGCCTAGGATCCGAACCCGCTAACCACCACTACGCCACGGTCCCGGCACTCAGACACTGTTCTGTAGAGAACACAGTAAAGGGCCTTTGCTTTAACTTCAGGCCTAAGCTCATCAGGAGAGTGAGGAAAGGTCTGTGTGGATGTGAATATGGTTTGTAAATTATAAGGCGCTAGCCTATGCAAATGTTAGCAATTAAAATAACTGATTATGCTTCTCCCTAACTTTGACTCAACTGTTAGGAAAAATACCTTTCTGAAACTTCCAACAAGAAGGTATTTCAGCACGATGAAGAGATTTTTTTCCGGGGCGAGGGGAGGACTAATAAATTTTTCTTTTATATGGACACAAAAAGTCTTTTTATTTTGGAAAATTTTGAAGATACATAAAAGCAGAGGAATAATAGTCTAATGAACTTTCCCATACCTACCCCCTGGTTTCAGTATATGACATCGTATTTCATTTATAGGCTTCGTTTCCCCCCATCCTGCACCAAAAGAAAGCTGGATTATTTTAATACCAGACATCATAAAATTTCAGTGCAAATATTTCACTATACATGTCTAAGACATGACAACTCCTTTTTAAAATAGCATAATCGCAAATCTACTCGTACTTAAACGAGCAAGAATAATTCCTTAATGTTCTTTAATATGTAGTTGTCAGCGTTCACATTTTCCCCAAATGTCCCATATTTGTTTTTTTTTATCAAATATATCTTCAATTTTTAAGGATAGTGGCCGTTTTTAAGGAACTCACACAGCTGAAATCCCCTTGCAGTTCCTCTTAGAAACATTTCTTTAAATAAGTGCTTAGTCATGGGGCGTTTTATCACAGATTCAACAATCGCTCTAGGCCTTCACTGAGATGGGCCCACGCCCGACACCACAGTAGAATCAGGCTCCACCACAGCTTTTTCTCACTCTCTCTCAGTGCAGGACAGCATCTTACAGCGCAAAGAGCTGGGGGTCACCTGGGAGGCCCGAAACCTTGATTCTAATCTTAATTCAGTCATTATCTAACTGTGTAACCTTGAGCAAATCCATTTTCTTCTCTGTGTCTCAGTTTCCAGGCCTGTAAAATGAATGGGTTAGCCTATATAATCCCTAAATTTCTTTCTGGCTCTTAAAGTTTAACATGTATGATTTTATGCCTAATTAATTTCAAATACTATATCTACATGGTGTTATTTGCGAAGATGAGAGCATGTCTATTATAGAAGACAGCAAGGTATTTCAAATCCTAAGACCAGTCAGATCCTGACTCTAGTTTCCTTGGGTAAGTCATTAACCCTTTTAAGCCTCAATGTCATACTGTACTACAATTATTTATTTTACTTATCTATCTCTCCTACTAGACTTGAACTTCTAGAGAGCAGGGTATTCTCATATTCATCTTTCTATCATCAAAGCCTAGTGTCATGTCTGGAGTCTGGTAGGTACTCAATATAGGCTTATTACATAGATGAAGGGATGGCTACAATCTGAGGGTAAGAATGACAGCTCCATCTACCTTACAGAATTATTGTATCGTGAAATGAGCTAATAAATGAAAACATATCTTTTAGATTCATACTAAAAAATTATATGTTATTATTTGTATTTGAAATAGTCCAAGTAGAACATTTTATTCATTTATAAAGATCTGATCTGGCCTCCAACTTTTGGTAAAGGATGAATGATAGGCATTTTTTTCTTGCCTATGCTAAATTTCACCTTTCTTTGGAAATTTTTATACGCTTTTCTTCTTCTCTTTTTAAAATTTAACTGAAAGTATACTTCTATACACTCACCATTTTTTATTTTTCCATAACTTTTGGGGGAATGTTTTGGAGTAATTGGCCAGTAGCTTAGCGCCAGTCTAATTTAAATAAGGCATTTTTATTAACTTCTACAAATCAAAACAACGCAGGAGATAGTGTCTCAGCAATTGTATACATCAGACGCGTGAATTTTCTGATGAGCTCAGTGTTCACTAGACTAGTTCCCTAAAGATGCTCCTGATTCAGTTTCTACTACAGCTGAATGCCAACAGTTCTGCCTTTGCATATTTCCTCAAATGGTCTCTCTCTTTTTAGTAATGAGACTAAATTTTTCTAAATTTAGTGTATCATTTAATAATTCCTGATTACACTTGGGTACCATTTTAAAATGTGAACATTTCCCTTAACTGAGTTTAAATCTAGTCCAACTTGAGCAGCGTTTCCTGAAAGGAATACTACTCCTAAGCAATAATGCTCACAAAAAACAGCCATGGGACAAACACATTTAGGAAAGTTTGCATATTATAACCTCTCCCCAGTGATTCACAAACCCCTCAGCACACTGAAGATTCTGAAAGGCCTTTATAAAGCCACGTGTTCCATTTCTTTGTTGTATAGCAAATAAACTTGATTTAACTTGCTTAACTCAGCATTTCTCAAACTTCCTTATTTCATGTGCCACTAAAAAAGAAAAACTGCCAATTAAACTGGGACTCCATGCTAAGATGCCATCAAATGTGACATCAGAAAGGTTAAAATTAGAAATATATGTGCATCTTGGAATCGATGAAATCTATGCCCACAGAACCCTTTTTCTCAAACATCACCTATGGACATCCGGAGGATCTAGCGTTCTCTGGAAACCGAAGCTCTAGCGGAGAACTTTCACAATTATTTCAGAGGAAGAGGGTAAAAGGCTGTTTTTTCCTATTAAGAAGTAAAAGAACTAAAAATTTTGAAGTAGAAATAAGAAAGAAAGAAATACTGGTCACTCATTTTCAGTATGAAATAGACCTCGTCCAGTTAAAGAGTAATTTCCAGGTCCATACCGGCATGTAACTGTCCAGCTGTCCTCACGCGCACGTAAATCTCTTTAAATCAAGATGGCATGTAATTAAATCGTTCAGCTGGTGGACAGGCTTCTCCGCCAAGGTAGTTCACTTTCACTCGGCGTGACCCCTCTGCCTCTGAAGAGCCCCACACCCTGAAGTGACTCAACTTCATAAAACCCCCATTAAAATCGCCAGCACTTTACAGGCAATAGACTTGGGCGTAAAGGATCAGTGACCTCACAGTGAGTCAGATGAGGTACGTGAGTGTCAGGGGAGGCTGGAGGATTAGCAAATCAGCTTCCAGGGCAAGGGTGCGGTGGACGCCTGGCTCTTCAGGCTTCCCGCGCAGGAGGGCACCCGCGTGGCCCAAGTCAACCCATTTACATCCCTCTCCATCTTGCCAATCCGAGTCCTGACGGGGATGTGGGCATGACTTTGGGGACAGCCTGTGCCACTTCAGGCTGGTCCAGGTCCCGTTGTCGGCGTCACCCCTCCCCCACCCCCCCTCCGCTTACGCCAAGGTTTAGCTCTTCGTTAGTTCTGAGTGTCTGAACTGGGCGAATCCATCTTTCTGAACACGAATCTAGAGGTTTCCCCAGGCTCTTCGGGTTGCCAGAACCCGCCAGGGCCTCGTGCCGTCATTCGGGCTGGTAACAAACAGCCGATGACCTCGGGAGGCCCGAAGTCACCTTCACACTCTCCTTTGCCCCACACCTCGCAGCTCTCTCCCCTCCCCCGGGGCCAGTCTCCACCACCAGCCTTCCTCCGAGCCGGGGCCTGCCTCTCCAGGAAGCGCCCACTTCCCCAGCCCGGAGCTGCAGGGCGGGAGGAAAAACTTGTAGGAGTTCGGCCGCGCTTCCAGAGCGCTGCATCCGCCGCCGAGATGCTGGCAGCCTGGGGACGGCCTCGGGCGGCCCTCTCCTTATTTATCCACCCGGCACAGTTTCCATGGCTCCGCCGCCATCCTCCGCCCCCTTCCTCGCGCTGAGCCCGGCAGCAGGCGCGGGCCCGGCCCGGTGGGGGCCGCGGGGGCCGCGGGGGGCGGGGGCCGCGCGTCCTTTCCAAGCCCCGCGGCGCGTGGAGGCGCACCCCTAGTCCTACTCCCCTGGCAGCTGTGCCACTTCTGCCGCCCCTGCCCGGCCCCCTCCCTGCTCGCCTGAGCCCCCGATCTGTCCCCCGTCGGGCCCGGCGCCGGGGCCCCCAGGCACCGCGCAGCCCCCGGCCCGGCCCGGCGGCGCGGGGGAGGGGCGCGGCGCAGGCAAAGTTGCTGAGTTGCTTTGCACGCTCAGAAGTTGCAGCTGAGACGGCAGCTTCCCGCCCCCTTCCTGGACTCGGCGGCTCGGAACGCACACCCAACCCGTCACCACCCGCTACCTGCCCTCGCCCCTGCGGCCCCGGCCCAACCCGGCAGCATCCCCGCCCGGCGCTCGCCAGGAGCCCAGGTTTCCAGCGGAGTCGGGCTGGGGGCGGGCGCACCCACCTCCCCGCTCCGCCGGCGGTGGTGGGGGGAGGGGCAGAGTACGGGGGTGGGTAGGGTCCCCTCCACCCAGTCGCCGCGCGGCCGGGGCGCTTTTGCACTTTGCAAAGCTGAGCAGCTGGGCAGGCGTCGCCCGCCGGCCCCCGCGCCCTCCTTGAGCAAAGCAGGGTTTGCAAAACGTGAACGGGGCAGTGTTCCCATCTCCTCCCGCAGGGGGCTTCGCCGGGGCGGCGGGAGGGGCTCCGCTAGGGACTGTGGTCGCCAACAGGTGCTCGCGAGCCCATGTGACCAGGGAGGGGCCGCGCAGGGGAAGCCGGGGTTGGGGGTGGGGGCGGGCTGCCTCCGGGTCCCCTGCAGAGCCCGACGCCGGGTGCGCCCCGCCCGCGGAGGCCTAGGGAGTGCTGGCGGCTGACTCTCCGAGCATTGGTGCCCTCGCGGCCTGCCCGAGAGGAGGAGGAAGAGGAGGGGCAGGGAGGGGATGCGAAAGTGGGTCAGGAATGTAACTGGACGCTGCGCACCCCCCCCCCCCCCCCCCCCCCCCCCCCCCCCCCCCCCCCCCCCCCCCCCCCCCC